CTTCGCGGCGGCCCCGTCGACCCGCCCGCGGCTCCCCGTCGCCCTTCGCGGCGGCCCCGTCGACCCGCCCGCGGCTCCTCGTCGACCTTCGCGGCGGCCCCGTCAACCCGCGCGCGGATCCCCGTCGCCCTTCGCGGCGGCCCCGTCGACCTGCGCGCTGCCCCCGGGGACCTGTGCGCTCGTCCCCGTCGACCCACCCGTCGCCCTCCGCCCCCCCCCCCCCCCTCCCCGACACACCTGAGTCTGCTTACCGCACACCTGAGTTCGCTTCCCGCACACTTGTGCACTATTCGCGCACATCTGAGGTCGCTTACCGCACACTCAGGGTATGGGGGTGACGATTATGGGGGTGGCGGGTGTGTGAGCCGTCACCTGCTCCTCCTCCTCCTCCGTCTCCCACTACTGCAGCTGCCGCTGAGGGGGGTGGGTGTGTGGGAGCCGAAGGAGTGGTGCTAGGGGGGTGACATGTGAGTGACCCTAGGGGTGCAGTAGGGGGTGTATGAAATGGGGGTGGGATAGTTTGGGGAGGTTGAAGGGGGTGGTCGCCGAGAAGCCAGCAGCTCCAGTCGCCTGTGAGACCGTTGCGCCAGTCGCCCGTGAGCCCATTTCGGAAGCGTCGTCTTCCTTCCGTATCCTCGCACAACGCATGCCCCAGTTGTCCAGTCGATCGTCGGATTGAACCGCTGCAGCCAATCTCTTCCTAGTAGCACATCGCAGCCGTCCAACGTCGTCGCCAACATCTTCATGCCAAAACCCGATTTTTTCGCCACACTGTATCCGAATTCTTCGCGCTTCATCTCGGATGGCCAGTGGTGTCCCGTCCACCAGCCTTGCATCAATCTCCGGCAGACACCTAGTCAGCTTCACCCCCATTTTTTTGGCCGTTGCCAGGTTGACGAGACTGTGGCTCGCCCCACCGTCAACGAATATTTTTATTTTATAACCGTTAACCCTCCCTACCACCTCTGAAAATATTGAAGAGAGAAAGAGGACTGCACTAGCAAGAATGGGGATACAAATAGGAAACCCTAGAATGGTTGTACTCGCTATAGAGCACCCCACTACAGGCTAGAGCATAACATTCTGACACACCCCCATAGCCAAAGTGGGGTGTAATCAGCAGAGCAAGCAAAGCAGTACAAGCTCAGGGTGGATCACAATGTCACCACACATTCTGAGCACAAGTTCAAGAAGCAATAGTTTAAAGTTAACAATTATGAGCAAAGCCAGTGGTAGTCACAACGGGCAAGTGAGGAGGAGGAGAGAGAGTGAGAGGAGAGGAGATAGGAGGCGACGGATGAAGCTGCAGACACACGGGCAACAGGAGGCACACTGGCACAGCGGCTACCGGAACAACGCTCCGGAATACTGGAGTAACTGGCCCCGCGGCTAAAGTAGCGGCAGACGAGCAACGGACCCACGGGCGGCTGGCTACGACTGGGCTACCAGACGAAGTCCCCGGAATACAGGTGCTGCTGGCGACATGAGGGAAACCTCCATTCAGCTTCCCCAAACGATCCCACTCCCCCTGACACACACCCGCTGCTACACCCCTAGCTCCACTCTCACCCCACCCCCTAGCACCACTCCGTCGAATCCCACACACCCACCCCCCTCAGCGGTAGCTGCAGCAGTGGGAGACAGAGGAGGAGGAGGAGCAGGGGAGACTACACACCCGCCACCCCCCCAGGTCGCGGCCCCCGAAGGAGCCGCGACGGGCGACGGGAAAAGGGGGGGGGGGGGGGGGGGGGGGGCGGTGCCGTAGGTAGGGCGACGGAGCCGGGCCGTAGGTAGGGCGACGGGACGACGGGGCCGCAGGTAGGGCGGCGGGGCCAGGGCCAGGGCCGCAGGTAGGGTCGCCCGAGCCGCGCGCAGGCGGCCCGAGCCGCGCGCGGGCCTGGCGCCGCCCGTACGGGTCGCGCGTAGGCCTGGCGCGGCCCGTACGGGCCGCGGACGGGTCTGGCGCAGCCCGTACGTGCCGCGCGCAGGCTGTACGGGCCCCGCGCAGGCCACGACGGGCGACGGGGGGCGACGCGGAGGTCCCCGTCGCCCGTCGCAGCGCCTCCCGGGAGCGGCGCCCGGCGTGACGGGGCAGTAACCCGCCGCGCGCCTCGGGGCGCACGGCGGGATGAAAAACTGCCGCACGCCACGGGGCGTGCGGCACAGAGAGTAGTGATAGCAGTAGCAATAGGAGTTGCAGCGGAAGCAACGAGGTGGTAAGTCCACCCACAGGATCGATCCAAGGGGATCGACCTGCTCTGATAGCATGTGAAAATATTGAAGAGAGAAAGAGGACTGCACTAGCAAGAATGGGGATACAAATAGGAAACCCTAGAAGGGTTGTACTCGCTATAGAGCACCCCACTACAGGCTAGAGCATAAGATAACATTCTGACACCACCAGCACAGGGTAGTCCACGTGTTCACCCACGTTATTCGTCCGGTTCTGGTCGATGGCTCTGATCGGTACCACGACCCGGTGTGGATGGTGATTGTCGGGCGACAGGGTCTCGTCAGTAGGTGGCCCTTCTGCTACTGACTCGTATCTTTTCCCGACCCTTCTCCGTCGTTCTTCTTCCCCTGCTTAAGCCTCGGGCAGTCTTTTTTTAGGTGGCCCAGCTGGTTGCATAAAAAGCACGGCCCAAGGGCTCGGCTTGGTGCATCCACGCAGTTGATAATGGGTTGCTGAGTCGATCCACGAAATCGAGGGCCCTCCCGGGAGCTCGATCTCGCCCACTGCATCAGTGCATCCGTTGACTCGGCTTCTTGGACGGCGTCGTTGAAGCTGCGTGGCCGGGTTCTTCGGACCTCATACTGTATCTCGTATTTCAAGCCCGCCACGTAGCGATCCAACCGCTCCGCGTCGCTCATATCGTCCACTTGATCCGCCAAGTTGCAGAACGTGCTGGTGTAGTCTTGGATCGAAGTCAGCTGCTTCCAGGCACGCAGCTTCATGCGAGCAGAGTCCGAGGCAGATATGTGCTCGAACCTGGTTCGCAAGGCGGCGGCCCACTCCCTCCATGTGCGTATCGTAGCCGTCCCAAAAATTGATGCTGCCTGATGCGTGACAGGTGTTGAAGTCCCGTCGTTCGCACGTGCTGTTCCTGCCGAAGTCCCTTCGTGCCACAATGTTCGCCTCCACCACTCCAGCGCAGGTCCTCGCAATAGTGAAACTGCGAAATTAATGCGGGTGGCATCATCATAAATCAAGGCAGCATTAAAAAACACCTCCACGCCGAACAACCATGCAGAAACAGTGACGAACTTGTCACTTGGGTTAAACGGGGGCGGGTTTGTCGGCTTGATTTTAACAAAAGCCGTTGTTGCCATCTGGGCCGTTGGCATTGCTGCCGGCGTCGCCGTCGTCGTCGCCGCTGCACGTGTCGGTGCTGAACGCGACTGTTGCGGTGACTGTTGCTGCTTGCGCTTGCCTCGCCTCGTCCGCATCCATCTCGCCTTCCAGCTCGCTCCAGACCCGCTCATCTGGTGCAGTGCTGCTACTTGCGTCGTCCACGACAGGCGACTCCTGGCGCACTTCACCACGCGCTTGGTGTAGTTCGGCGTTTTCCTCCCGAAGACGCGCCATTTCTGCAGATATCGTCTGCATGTTGGCCTGCATCATCCGGAACTGTTGCATGAGCTCGTTGAACTCTGCCTGGTCTATGTGTCGCAGGCTTCGTCTAACGGGTAGGGGTTGGTTAGCGATTTTTTTGACTTCGGTGAAGGCGTTAATGCTATCTTAGTCGGACTGGAATAATCGGATCTATTCCACGGGCCGACCGCTTAACAGCCCACCAAGTCTATCGCTCCCCTTCTACAAACTACCCCGGAAACGCGAGGGTAACCTAGGAAATTAGGCTCTGATACCAGGTGTTATGAGTTGTGAAAGGAAGAGCGCGCAGAACTCAATAATGCGGAAGTGATTACAATGTCTGAGAACACAACGAGGCCTGGGACTAATATAGCGAAGCTAGCTAGGCCGAGGTCGCGGGGTCGCGAGATGGTTGGGTGCAGGTTCGGGGTTGGGAAACCCGAAAGCGACGCGGTAGTGGCTCGGATTGCGAGGTCGGCGGACTGAGCCTGGTTTTCCGAAAGTCGGGGTTGTACGCGTACAGTGTGACCCAGGAAGGAATCCGAAAAATTCCTTAAAGTCTTAGGGTGCATTCCTGAGTTGGTGGCAGGGCAACTGTTGGTGGCAAGCGCATTTTCCGGCCCACTGAATTTTTGGGTACACTTGCCACCAACTCGATGTGAACAGTTGCCCTGCCACCAACCAGGAATGCACCCTTAGTGTATAACTGTAACCGTCGACGAAAGGTGATCGTAGCCGTGTTTGATCTGACCCTAGCATATTATCGCACGGTATGCGTCTCCGAACACGCCCCTCTCGCCTGGACACGACATAAGCGGACCTGACGATCAATTGCAGCAGCTATTTCACCTTATTTCACATAAGTTGGTCCCATCGTGCTGACTCATAGAGAGCACCTGGAGCGTGGCGTGCGGAAGGTCGTTTAGCGTTCATTGCATACACGCCCTGTGCGATTTTCGAGTACAAGCTTTGTAGTTAGACCGTGTTCGTCACCTCTCTTACGGTTTCTTGAGACCAGCTAGGAGCACAACCGTCTGACCACAAGGCATACATTTAGCCGAGCACGATGATCATTCCCGTTCGGTGCTTCACGTGCGGCAAGGTTCGTCGTTCGGTTGGAGCGCTAGAAACCCTTAGAAGACAAGGTTTCTTCCTACGTCTGCCGTGTTGGCGACTGCTGAGTAGCGCAGCATGCGCTGACGTTTCTCCACCTCTGTTGTGAATCTTTTTCCCAAACCCTGATCCCCGTCCCTCGTCCCCCAAATCTGAGTTTTCTATGTTTCCCTAGTTTCCTTTCCTTGTTAATTGCTTTCTTGAACATTCATGTCTATGTTCTTCGCTTATGATGGCCGTGACGCTGTCTTCGTCTCTCACCCGTTTTCCCACATCACCATCCCATGGCCGTCAGGTGATTGGCAACAAGTGGGACATGTACCTTGATCTGCTCCAAGCAGACTACAGTGAAGGGTGGGTATTGTCACGTGATAGGAGAAATCTCTGAAAGCCTTCTTCTATCAGTTTGCAAGGTCAAAACGCGGTTTCTTGCCTTTTCTTCCCTGTGTATCAGTTTTCTTTCAACTGCACTATCCCCACTCCACACGTTTTTTTCTGCGTTGAATCCTTATTCCCGATGCACATACAGACATTCCTTCCTACCCTCCCCTCCTTCCCTGTTACAGTGACGCTCTGGATGCTCTAGGTCTTGTGCGCTACTGTTGCCGGCGCATGCTCATGACTCACGTAGACCTGATCGAGAAGCTGCTCAACTACAACAGTAAGTCTTGTGTTCTTGATGTGCTGGTTTTCCATTTGAGTTTCTGTTTCCGCGCTGAACGTATGGCTTACGTGAGCCCGATTGGGAAGCTTCTAAATCACAACAGTAAGTTTGTCCTCTCATGCAGTGGGTCGTGTTGTTTATTTCGGATAAATGGTTGTTCCTTTCTGAATGCATGGGCTGTTGTGCAATGCTTATGACTCATGTGGACTCCATAGACAAGCTGAATGTTAGGGTCTTTGCTCTCTGAAGGCAACAAGCCGTACATTAGGATGTTTGTCCATGTGTCCTCAGCTCAGGGTATTATACACTGTGCTGCGCATGGTGCATGTGGATCTGATAGGGTTGCACTTCCATTACTACTTTTTTGTTCTCTCAATTAAAAGCGTTTGGTTTCTTCCTTCTGTCATGCACTTTATACCCTCTGTTCACACACAATCACATTCGTTATCTTTCATGCGCAGAAGTTCAATCCTTTTTTCTTCAGTGCTGTTTATTTTGTCAACTGTTCTAACCTCGTCTTTTTTCCTCCGTTTTTGGTGTTTGCCATATCTTCCTTCCAGCCCTGGAGCGCTTGGATGCATAAGGTTCTTTTCTGGCTTGGCTGGTAGTCTTTATGAGTTGGGTTGGGTAGCTGTTTCTGGTTTTGTAGTTCTTCCTTTGGTTTATGTTTATTCGGGTGCATTGGTAATGTAGCTGTACAGTGTATGATCTGATGACCTTTCAAAATTAGTATATTTACCTGGGTGAGCTGAGAACGGATGGAATTGGAATAATCAGATGCAAAAAAATCATGTTGTTCAATGCAATTTTGAAGTGAGGCGTATTTTATGCTATTTGTGTGTTATCGGCATGTACGCGTTATTTGATTTTCAGGAACCTTGTTACGAGTGCAATTGAGTGAACGAACTAGAATTGCACTATCGAAGCAATAGTACAATGAGCGAAGGCATGAGCGAAGAATCTGTAGCGAAACTACAGTGGTAATGGTAATGGACTCTGGTTGTCGCGCGACGGGCCTGGGGCTGAGGTTGGGAAAAAGTGTCGAAGCGGAGGGCCGGAGCGCGGGTTACTGTCAAATGTTGTAGCCTGTAGTGAGGTTTGTCTTAGGGGGTACAGAAGTTAGGGTTTGTTATATGTACCCCAACCAACATCAATGGCATCATCATTCCTCATTTTGACATGGTATCAGCTAGGTTAGGATCCTGTGGGATCCCATTCCTCCGTTCTCCGTTCGTCCCTCCCGAGCCTGATCCTACCTCTCGTTCGTACCGGTTCCGTTGTTACCGCGCCTAGTACCGAGCCTATCGCCCTCTCCCCCGTCGCTTAGCGCCCTTTCTCCCCGTCGCCTAGCGCCCTTTCCCCCCCCTCCCCCCTCCCCCCCCCCCCCGTCGCGTCGCGCCCTTTCCCCCCGTCGCCTAGCGCTCTTTCCCCCGTCGCGTCGCGCCTGTTCCCCCCCGTCACGTCGTGCCCGCCCTTTCCCCCCCCCGTCCCGTCGCCCTGTCCCGTCGCGTCGCCCTGCCCCGTCCCGTCGCCCTGCCCCGTCGCGTCGCCCTGCCCCGTCCCGTCACCCTGCCCCGTCGCGTCGCCCTGCCCCGTCGCGTCGCCCTGCCCCGTCCCGTCACCCTGCCCCATCGCGCCGCCCTGCCCCGTCGCGTCGCCCTGTCCCGTCCCTACGCCCTGGCCCGTCGCCCTACCCTACGCCCTGGCCCGTCGCCCTACCCTACGCCCTGGCCCGTCGCCCTACCCTACGCCCTGGCCCGTCGCCCTACCCTACGCCCTGGCCCGTCGCCCTACCCTACGCCCTGGCCCGTCGCCGTACCCTACGCCCTGGCCCGGCGCCCTATCCTACGCCCTAGCCCGTCGCCCTACCCTACGCCTTGGCCCGTCGCCCTAGCCCGCTCTTCCGCTGCGACTGAGTCCCCTTCCCACCTGAACCCTAATTTGCCTCTTCTCCCCGGTTGTTACTCGCCTGTTCGTTCGCGTTGGTTCTCACTATGGCGACTCCGCGAGTTCTTCGTTTCGACGCCGACGGTAGACCCCTTGACTTTTCCGTCTGGCTTCTTCGCGCTCGTCGTCTGTTAGAGAGTCAAGTCCAGGGGGGGCGAGACCCTCTGGTCACACGCTACTGGTGACCTCCCCGAGCCCCCCGAGCCTACAGCTTTAGGCTCTGCCCCTGACGACGCTGCTTACGGCTCGCTTTGCCCGTCAGCGCGCTGACCGGACGGCTTGGACGTCGCGTGACGCTGCGGCCTGCATCGCACTCAGCAGCCTCCTCCCTGAGTCAGAGGAGGTCTACTTTACTCAGGTTCGCACCGCTGCTGCGTACCTCACTGCGATTAAGGCCCGCTACTCTACTCCCGCTACTGTCTCTCTTGGCCGTCTTTTCCTCCCGTTCCTGTTTCCTGATCTCGCCTCGTTTGAGCGCTCTGCTGACTTGATCGCTCACCTCCGCTCGCTCGACGCTAGTTACCGCGCTGCTTGCACAGAGGCACAGCTTGCACTGCTTCCTCCCCCCATGGCGATTACTGTCTATTTCATCGCCACTAGCCTCCCTGACCGCCTAGCCTCCGTTCGTGACGCGCTTCTGCTGAAGCACCCTAGTGAGCTGACTATCGAGGTCCTTGAGTCTGCACTCAAGGACGTCGAGAGCAACCTTCGCTCGGTAGCTGCCGCCTCTGGTACTGTGTCCCCCCCACTCTTCCACGGGTGCACAGTCCCGCAGTTACCCACCTTCACTGCCTCTCTCGCCACTGCCGCTACTGCCGCTACTGACGCGACTGCGGCTGCTGTTACGACTGCGTCGCGGTCCCGCGGCAAGGGGGGCAAGAAAGGTAGTTCTGGTGGAGGTGGAGGTGGAGGTAGCGAAGGTAGTGGGGGTGCTGTTGCGACTGGCGGTGGTGGGAGTGCAGCGTCTGGAGAGACCCCTCGTGCAGCGGCTGGTGACTCCACTGCGCCTGCTGGTGGCGGCGACCCCCGAGCTCGTCAGTCGCCTCCTGTACTGCCGACCCCGCTAGGTGGAGCAGCGGCGTGGTACCAGGCTCAGCGTCAGCAGCACCTTCAGCAGCAGCAGCAGCCCCTTTCCTCCCGCCAGCCTCAGCAGCAGCAGCGTCAGCAGCTGGCTCCGGGGTCGGGGCTGCGTCAGCCCCAGCGCGGTGCTTCTTACCCTCCCTGCACCTATCAGGTTCTGACAGGTCCTCGTCGGGGCCACCCTTGTGGCCGCTTTCACCCCCCTGGTCAGTGCTTTTCTCAGCTCACTGACACGGTCCGGTTGGCCTACGGGGTTGGCGGTCCTGCTCTTGACTGGCTTCCTCTGGTTCAGCGCTACGGCTCCGCTCTGTGGGGCATGTCTGCTGAGCAGTTAGTTGATCTGATTGGTGCTCCTCATGCTATGTATGCTGTTGTTGACTCTAGTGTTTCTGACTCTATTTACTCAGGTGTTGTTAGCTTAGGTGCTAGTCTTGCTCAGTTGCCTGTTGCTAGTGTAGGTTCTTGTGTAGACTCTAGACCAGCGACTACCTCAGAGGACGCTTCGCTGTCGTTCACGCTGGACTCTGGAGCCTCACACTGCTTCTTCCGGGACAGCACGACACTTACACCACTTCCTGCGCCTGTTTTCTGTGGCTTTGGCTGATCCCACTACGGGACCAGTCACTGCACGTCACACTACCACTTTACCGTGTCCTGCTGCTCCCTCCGGGTCTCTCACTGGGTTTCACGTCCCCATCGTTCTCCCGGAACTTGGTGGGCGTGCGACCCCTCGTGAGTCAGCACGTGGGTGTGTGGTTTGAGCCTTCTGGAGAGACTGCGGTGTGTGTTGACGGAGACTCTTACCAGCCTCTTGCTACCTTTACTGCTGAGCCGGGCTCAGGTCTCTACACTCTTCACACTGGCCCGCGTGCGCAGCCGCAGTAGCAGCAGCAGCAGCAGCAGCTGCACCAGCAGTCGCACCAGCAGCCGCCCCTACTGCCACTGCCCCCCGGTTCCCCCCCCCCGTTCGGGTCCCCGCGTCTCACCAGGTTGCTTCGTCCCCCCAGGTGTCTGTGTCGTGTCAGGTTCCTACGTCTGCTCCAGTCGCTGCGTCGTGCTCCTGCCGGTCGCTTGCCCACCCCACCGTTCTGTGGCACCACCGGATGGGGCACCCGTCCCTTCCTCGTCTGCGCGCTATGTCTAGTCAGCGTCTTGTCCTAGGCCTCCCACGTGTCTTGCCGTCGCTGCCGCCGCCTTCGCTTGCGCCGCCGTGTGGTCCCTGCGTCGAGGGTCGGCTGCGCGCCGCCCCTCACTCCTCCTCCCTTCGTCCGGCCACCGAGCCTTTTGAGACGCTTCACTTGGACGTCTGGGGGCCCCGCCCCTCGTCTAGGCCCTGAGCGTGAGCGCTACTTTTTGGTGGTCGTTGACGACTTCTCCCGCTACACCACAGTGTTCCCACTGGCGAAGAAGTCTGAGGTGACTTCTACGCTGATCAGGTGGTTGCTCACCACCGAGGACACTCGTGGTCGTCGTGTCAGCTGCCTCCACTCCGACCGTGGGGGTGAGTTTCGCTCCGGCATTCTCGCTGGATTCTGTCGCGAGCAGGGCATTCGTCAGTCCTGGACGCTTCCAGAGTCCCCACAGCAGAATGGGGTTGCTGAGCGCCGCATAGGCCTGGTCATGGAGATCGCCCGCACCTCCCTGACTCACCGCCTGTGCCCCCCATTTTCTGTGGCCCTACGCGGTCAGGTACGCCGCGCACCAGCTGAACCTCTGGCCACGTGTCTCTCGACCAGAGGTTTCACCGACCAGTCTTTGGACAGGGTCCCCTGGTGTTGCGTCGCGGTTTCGTGTCTGGGGGTGCTTGGCTCTTGTCCGCGACACCTCCGCGGACAAGCTCTCGCCTCGTGCCGTCCCCTGTGTCTTCCTTGGTTTCCCTGAGGACTCCTCTGACTTCACCTTTTACCACCCTCCCTCTCACCGGTTCTTTGACTCCCGTGACGTCCGTTTCGAGGAGTCCACTCCGTACTACGTCAGGTACCCCAGTCGAGGTCTCCAGGTTCCTCCTCCCCCCCTCTTCCTGACTGCCGCTCCCCCTCCTGTTCCCCCGGTACAGCCTCCCCCCCCTGGTCCAGCCCCGTCGGGTGTGTCCCAGGCTACCCCTCCTCCTTCGGTAGCTCCTCCGGTACAGCCTCCCTCCCCACAGTCCTCCTCGCAGCGTGCCGCAGGTGCTAGCTCTCGAGAGGTTGGTGCTGCGCCTGTTCCTGTACCGGTTTTTGGTTCTGGGGGTGGTGGAGTTGGAGCTGGAGTTGGAGCTGGAGTTGGCACTGGAGTTTCTGGTTCTGGGGGTGCTGGGGTTGGAGCTGGAGTTGGAGTTGGAGTTTCTGGTTCTGGAGTTGGAGCTGACCCGGTGGGTGCAGAGGACTCTTGTCGTCCGGGAGCTGGTGCTGGTCGCGCGGACACTGGGGGTGAGAGTGCGCCTCCTTCGGGTTCTGGTGAGCCTGGGTCTGGAGCTGGTGTTAGTGCTGCCTCTGGGGGTGGTGCGCCTGGTTCTTCGGGGGTGGACTCTGGAGCTACCGCTGCTTCGGACACTACTCCGCCCCCCCACCCCTACCCGACTAGGCACCAGGCTCGTGTTCGCCGTGCCCGTGACGAGCAGCTGGCGTTGGAGAGAGAGGAGAGGGAGTTACAGCGGCTGGAGGAGCAGCAGCAGCAGCTGGAGCCGCAGGAGGAGCAGCAGCAGCAGCAGCAGCAGCAGCTGGACCCGCAGGAGCAGCAGTCCCCAGCAGCAGCCGCTTCCGCAGTAGCAGCAGTCGCAGCAGCAGCAGCAGCAGCCACTTCCTCCTCCTGTCTCGGGTCTTCGGACCCTTGGTCTCCCCTCCCCTTCTCCTCCCTCCTCCGCCTCTCCTCCTGTCTACGGTCCCACGTTTCCTCCTCCTGACTCCTCCCCCGCTGTTTTCCCCAGTTCTCCGCCTTTGTCCTCTCCTCCTCCGTCTCGTTCTTGGGCTACTCGTCGCTCCCCTCGTGCTCGTCCCTCGTCTCCTGTTCCCTTCACTGACCTTTGTACTGCCTTCCTTCTTTCTAGTCCACCTCGTCCGTCTCAGTCTGTGCTTCCGTCTCCTCCTGAGTCGGCCCTCTCTGTGTCGCTCCCTACTCCTGTCACTGACTACTACCGCACGTACCGTCCTGTTCTCTCTCGTGTTCTCGCCTCTCTTGTTACTCACCCTCGCGCCTCTGTGTCCTCTGTGTCCGCTCTTACTGCCGCAGTTACTGACTTTGCCTCTACCCGCCGCCTGACTACGCCACCACGCTTGTGGCTGCTCCTCCTACCAGTCCTCTGGTCGTCGGGGGTGTGTCTGCCCTTGGCTGTGACGCCCTAGAGGACAGGCAGTTTGAGCTAGAGTTCCTGGCGGCCACTTCCCCTCATCTCTGTGCCATGCTCCTCGCCCCTGAGGGTGACCCCGACGCCCTTGACATTCCGACTCCTCGCACTTACGCTGAGGCAGTGTCAGGGCCTTGGGCCTCTCAGTGGAGAGCTGCCATGGACGCAGAGATGGCTTCCTACAGATCCACAGGCACCTACGTCGATGAGGTTCCCCCCCCCTGGGGCGAACGTAGTCGACGGCATGTGGATCTACAGGGTGAAGCGGCCACCGGGATCTCCCCCGGTCTTCAAGGCTCGCTACGTGGCTAGAGGTTTCAGTCAGCGCGAGGGAGTTGACTTCTTTCAGACCTTCGCACCTACCCCGAAGATGACCACTCTTCGGGTGTTACTACACGTAGCAGCACAGAGAGACTACGAGTTACACTCTCTCGACTTCTCCACTGCTTTCCTTCAGGGCAGCCTACACGAGGAGGTCTGGTTGCGTCGTCCCTCGGCCTCACTGGCACCTTCCCTCCTGGGACCCAGTGGAGGCTGAGGCGACCTGTTTACGGTCTTCGCCAGGCCCCTCGTGAGTGGCACGACACTCTGCGTTCTACCCTCTCTGACCTTGGGTTCCAGCCGTCTTCTGCCGACCCGTCGGTGTTCGTTCGTCGTGGCTCCACACCGTTCTTTGTTCTGGTTTACGTCGACGACCTCGTTTTCGCCACTCCGGACAGGGTTGCTTTGGCAGACGTGAAGTCCGAACTGCAGAAGAGACACACGTGCACTGATCTTGGTGAGCTGCGCCACTACCTTGGCCTCCAGATCACCAGGGACAGAGCCGCTCGCACCATTACACTCTCACAGTCACACATGGTGCAGCAGGTCCTTCAGCGGTTCGGGCTTCAGCACTCCACCGTACAGCGCACACCTCTCGCTGTTTGACCACAGACTCACTGGTCCCTTCCTGACGAGCCGTTTGAGCCTAGTGGTCCCTACGCAGAGCTTGTGGGTTGCCTCATGTACCTGATGACTTGTACTCGCCCGGACCTCGCCTTCCCTCTCAGCATCCTTGCGCGCTTTGTTGCGCCAGGGAGACACCGTCCTGTTCACTGGACGGCAGCTGTGAGGGTGGCGAAGTACCTAGCGACTACATCAGGCGTGGGGCTAGTTCTTGGAGGGCAGCAGTCTGTCGTACTCACTGGTCACTGTGACTCCTCTTACGCTGACGACGCTGAGACTCACAGGTCTACTCAGGGGTACTGTTTCAGTCTGGGTTCTGGAGCTGTTTCCTGGCGTTCCACGCGCTCCTCTTCTGTCTCGACCTCTTACAGCTGAGGCTGTGATTTACGCTGGTGCCATGGCGGCACAGGAGTTGCGTTGGTTGACCTTCTTGCTCGCCGACCTTGGTGATGCGGGCCGAGCTCTGCACTGACCTTGTGCACTGACAACAAGGCGTCGATCCTCCTCTGTCGTGAGCCGCGACTGGAGAGCAGAGTGAAGCACATTCACGTCAGGTACTTTCTTCTGCGAGAGTTGCAGAGACGTGACAGGCTCGCTTCGAGTTTGTGGAGTCTGAGGCCAACACTGCAGACATCTTCACCAAGGCGCTTCCGCCTCGTGACCACCAGAGGTGTTGTGTGCAGTTAGGCCTTGTTGACACAGGTTCTAGTCATGTGTAGGCTTGAGTTTATTGCCTGCTTCGTCTGTACTCTTACTATATATACTTGTGATCTCTTGGACTGGCCTTGTGGCCACTGTTGCTTGTGCTCAGAAAGTGTGGTGACGTTGTGATCCACCCTGAGCTTTGTTTTCTTTTGGACTGGTCTTGTGACCGTACTCTTTTTTATTTTGCTAGACACCCCTCACTTAGGCTATGGGGGTGTGTCAAATGTTGTAGCCTGTAGTGAGGTTTGTCTTAGGGGGTACAGAAGTTAGGGTTTGTTATATGTACCCAACCAATATCAATGGCATCATCATTCCTCATTTTGACAGTTACCCGCCGAGCCGTGAGGTCGGGGTTCTACGTGTGAAGGTGGCGGGCGGATTGTAGATGCGAGGGTTGCGAGTGGTAACGGTGCTGACTGTGGTGCTATAGTGATGTACGCGTTGGGATGCGAAGTAAGGAGAAGGAATTTTCCTTACAAACCTGGAGCCTCAACTATTTCGAGTGCTCCCGATTTCCGAAATATCAAGCAGCAACACCCCTGGAAATCTCCATTTCCGAGGAATAAGATTCCTGGGATTTCTAGTTTCTCCAGACCGCTGGTAGTAAGCACGGAAGCGTGCAGGCGTTAAGGCTGCATTTCTGACGCATCGTTGCGTCAAGATCTATTGTTTTCGCCAGTTATACCCGCGGAAGTGGGAGCGAGTAGTCGGACGGGTTGGTCGTTGACGGTTATTTCACGGCAATTGAAGTCAAATTCCATTGTGTCATCGAGTCCACAAATTCCTAGGCTTTACAGTTTACGTTTCAGGACTGAGTCGGTTTGATTGGGTCGCTCTCACAGGCTCATCGTCATGTTGATCTTCATAGAAGCTTGTATTAGATGATCTCGCTTGGGGTTTCTACGTAACGCTAGAGTAATCGAGAGTAGGCTCGGGAAGTTCAGTGCGCTGTCGATCTATCAGTTGGATTCAGGCGCCGGTGTCGTGCCGCGACTGTGAGGATGCCGGGAGAGATTGTAACGCTTCAGGTCGGGCAGTGTGGTAACCAGGTTGCGAGCGAATTCTGGCGACAGCTGTGCCTTGGAGCACGGCATCGGCTGGATGGCAACCTGCAGGACTTCGCGACGCAGGTACGGCGGTTTCGATTTGACCGTTGATGAGATGACCGTTGATCGGTTGGCGATTCAGGGACTTACTTGTTATATCAAGTGGAAGACGAGCACTACATCCCGCCACGCCTCCCCCCGATCCGTTTCCGCCCTTCCCCCAATTTCTCCTTTTCCCCTTTTCCCCGCCATTATGGCGACGTTCGGAAGGACGTGTTCTTACATCCCGCGCTCCTTCTGCTCGGTTTCCCTCTCTATTCCTCCCCCCCCTTCTCCGCACACTATCACAACCAGGGCGACGATCGAAAGGACGTGTTCTTCTATCAGGCGGACGACCAGCACTACATCCCGCGCTCCGTTTTACTAGACCTAGAGCCGCGCGTGGTGAAGGGCATCCAGGCGGGCGAGTTCCGCGCGCTCTTCAACGCGGAGAACGTGTATGTGGCGGAGCACGGGGGGGGCGCGGGGAACAACTGGGCGAGCGGGTTCGACCAGGGCGCGCGCGCAGCAGGAGGCGATTATGGAGATGATCGACAGGGAGGCGGATGGGCAGCGAGAATCTGGAAGCCTTCTACCTCTGCCACTCCGTGGCTGGAGGCACTGGGTCAGGTGAGACGAGGCACTGGGTCAGGTGAGACGAGGCACTGGGTCAGGTGAGACGAGGCACTGGGTCAGGTGAGACGAGGCACAGGTTCAGGTGCGGCAAAGAACAAATTGACCACGTGTGTGCTGTGCAGCAGGAGGCGATGATGGAGATGATTGACAGGGAGGCTGAGGGCAGCTAGATTTTGGAGGCCTTCTACCTCTGCCATTCTGTGGCCCGAGGGACTGGGTCAGGTGAGACGAGGCACGGGGTGAGGAGAGAAAATACCTTTAGCCAACCAGGCGCGCGCGCAGCAGGAGGCGATCATGGAGATGATCGATAGGGAGGCGGAGGGGAGCGAGAATCTGGAAGCCTTCTACCTCTTTCTTTCTGTGGCTGGAGGCACTGGGTCAGGTGAGACCAGATGATGAAGGCGAGGCGGAAGGGAGTGAGGCAATAAAGGTAAGGTATCTGCTCTTGGGGCCCGACCAGGCACAGCAGGAGGCGATCATGAAGATTATCATCAGGGAAGCGGAGGGTAGCGAGAAATTAAAATCCTTTACCTCTGCAACTCCGTGGCTGGGGGGACGGGGTCAGGTGAGACAAAGAAATGGCATGCTTGGGGAGAAAAGTATGACGCTTGCCTCTTTTCCCCAAGATTCAGCATGTGTGTTCCTTTTCCCTGATCTTCTCTCCCACCCCGTACAGGCATGGGCTCATACCTCTTGGAAGAACTGCATGAAACAGGAAAACAAAGAGAAAGAGAAAGAGAACCTGGATATGCCGAAGAGGGAAGTAGTAGGGAGCACACTGTAGGTCTGCCCGAGCTTTTGTGGTCATACCTCTCGGGCTCCAAGAAGCTCATGCAGACCTACAGCGTGCTCCACTGCTTTCCTCTTTGGCATATCCGAGTTCTTTCCCTCTTTCTCTCTCTTCCCCTGTTTCATCCTTTACAGGCATGGGGTCATATCTTTTAAAAGAGCAGCACAATTGCTACTCTAAGAATCCGTGCAGACCTACAGCATGTTCCCCAATGATCGCCTCTTCTTTCCAGGGTTTTTCATGAGCTCTCTCTTCTCTATATTCTACCTGTCTCATCCTTACAGGCATGGGGTCGTATCTCTTGGAAGAACTGCAACGACCGATACCCTAAGAAGCTCGTGCAGACGTACAGCGTCTTCCCGAACCAATCAGAAACGTCTGACGTGGTGGTCCAGCCGTACAACTCGCTGCTGACCCTCCGCCGGCTGACTCACGCACGCGGACAGCGTGGTTGTCCTCGACAACACAGCACTGGATAGAATCGCCGCCGAGAGATTGCGGCTGCACCAGCCGACGTTTGCCGAGACGAATTCTCTGGTGGCGATGGTCATGGCTGCGAGTACTAATACCATTCGGTATCCGGGGTTCATGAGCAATGATCTAGGCGTCCATGGTGTCGTCGCTCGTGCCCACTGCCTCTCTGCCACTTTCTGGTTTCCAGCTACACGCCCCTGACTGTGCAGAGGCAGGTGCGTGCATGTGTGGGTGTGTGTGTGTGCGTGGCCTTCTGTCTGTCTGTCTGTCTGTGTTTGTTTGTCTCACATGTATCCAATGTGTTTTTCATGTGTTTTTAAAATGTGCATATCAGATGTGTGTTTTCTCATGTGTGTGTGTGTGTGTGTGTGATGTGCTGCTGCATGCACTGCAGGAGAACGTGATTCGCAAGACATCAGTCTTTGACGTCATGAGGCGGCTGCTGCAGGTAAGGTGGGAGGAGGTAAGGTGGGGGGAGGTAAGGTGTACGGAGGTAAAGTGTGAGGAGAAAGGTGTTACAACGCTATGTGCAAGACATCGGTCTTTAGACAACAAGAGGTGACTGCTGCATGTAGGTGCGGGGAGTTATGGTGGTAGGAGGTGAGGGGAGGTTATGATGATAGGAGGTGAGTGTAAGGTGTGAGCAGGGAAATTCTTGGACTTCAGTCATAAGCTTTCGAATTTAGGCCATTGCCTGAGCTTTTTCAAGTTTTGGCAGCATCAGCCACTGGAGACGAGGTGTGGTGCATCCAAGTCCCAATTTCGCTTCATCCCACATCATCTGTTCACCTGTTTGCCTGTTCTCCTCATCACCTCTCTCCTTTTCTTCCCAACAGCCGCAGAACTGGATGGTTTCGTCTCACTACGGCCGAAGCGCGCGGGACGTGAGTGCCGCCCGGTACATGGCGAGTTCTGAACGTGATTCAAGGGGAGGTGGATCCAGGGGAGGTGAACAAGAGCATGCAGCGCATCCGAGAGAAGCAGGCGGCTTCGTTCATCGATGGGGCCCTGCCAACATACAGGTGCGTGTGAGGCAGCACCCGGCATACTCTGAGAGCACGTTTGAGCCTGCTGCACTTGACCATGACGTTGACCAACTGTGGAGTTGCCAAGGTGCAGGCGCATAGTAGCTGGTGGTTGGGGAGTAGGGAAAGGAGGAGGTTACTCAATGAGCATGGTTCAGGGGGAGGTGGATCCGGGGGAGGTGAACAAGAGCATGCAGCGTATCAGAGAGAAGCAGGCGGCTTCCTTCATTGAATGGGGCCCTGCAAATATTCAGGTGCGTGTGATGCAGCATCCAGCATACGTTGGAAGCAGGCCTCTGATTCAACTCTGGAGTAGCCAACCTATAGGTGGAGATTAGCTAGTTGTTGGGGAGTAGGAAAGGAGGGAGGTTGCATTCTAAACGTCGTCCAGGGGAGGTGGATCGGGGGAGGGTGAACAAGAGCATGCAGCGTATCCGAGAGAAGCAGGCGGCTTCCTTCATCGAATGGGGCCCCTGCGAATATACAGGTGGGTGTGAGTTGGTGGTTGGGTGTGTGAAGCAGCATTCCGTGAGGAGTAGGCTGGAAGGGACGCTTAGGTGCCTTGGTGACGTTTTGAGTCATCTCAGCCACATACAGGTGCGTGTGAAGGAGATTAGTGAAGTACCTACTTGGCACTCGGGGATTAGTCAAGTACCTACTTGGCACTCGGGGAATTAGTCAAGTACCTACTTGGCACTCGGGGATTAGTCAAGTACCTACTTGGCACTCGGGGATTAGTCAAGTACCTACTTGGCACTCGGGATTAGTCAAGTACCTACTTGGCACTCGGGGATTAGTCAAGCACCTACTTGGCATTCGGGGATTAGTCAAGTACCTACTTGGCACTCGGGGATTAGTCAAGTAGGGAAGGAGGGTGGGTGCATTTTTTAATGTCATCCGAGGGGAGGTGGATCCGGGGGAGGTGAACAAGAGCATGCAGCGCATTCAGGAGGAGCAGGCGGCTTCCTTTGTTGAATGCTGCCTCGCCAATATACAGGTGAGTAAGCGCCATGAGGAGTAGGCTGGACGACTGAGCATTTGCTGCGTTTACGACTTCTGAGTCGGCTCTGCCAGCAAGTACTTTCTAAGAAATCTCAGCAGTAATTTTGAAAGGGCGCTTCCAGCACAAACTCTAAGAATTCTAGTTTTGAGGCGCCTCAAAACTAGCAGTACTTTCTAAGAAATCTCAGAAGTAATTTCGAAAGGGCGCTTCCAGCAGTAATTCTAAGAATTCTCGAATGTAATTCCCGAGTGGCTCTGCCAGAATTGTGGTGCGTATGAGCTGCATATGTCCCACTTCGTCTGTCTCACCTCTCTCTCTCCCACACTCATCCTGCGGCCCTCCCAGGTGGCTCTCTCTCGCAAGTCGTCTTACGTGCAGATGGGGCACAAAGTGAGCGGGCTCATGCTGGCCAACCACACGGGCATGTGAGATGATTACAGAGTCCCCTCAAATACCACGTTCTCCTCTGTCACCACACACCCCTCCCAGGTGGCCCTCTCACGCAAGTCCCTTACGTGCAGACGGGGCACAAAGTGAAGTGAGCTCATGATGACCAACCACACGGGCATGTGAGAGGCATGGGAGACAACTGGTCGAGTCAACTGAGAAAACGCTCTTTGTTTCCCCGTTGCCACATCCCTCCCAGGTGGCTCTCTCGCGCAAGTCCCCTTACGTGCAGACAGGGCACAAAGTGAGCGGGCTCATGCTGGCGAACCACACAGGCATGAGGCACCTGTTTGGGCGCTGTGTGAAGCAGTATGAGAACATGCGCCGCAAGTCCGCCTTCCTCGAGCCCTACAAGCAGTTCTCCATGTTCTCTGTGAGTCATGTGTGAGGGTGTGTGTGTTTGAGGCGCCGAGACACTGGACTGGCCAATCCGGGCATGCGGCACCTGTTTGGGTGCTGCGTGAAGCAGTATGAGCCTGCAAGTCCTACTCCCTCGAGCCCTGCAAGCAGTTCTCCATGTTCTCCGTGAGTCCTGTCCCCTGTGTTCCTTGCACAAAATCAGCTAGTTTTCTCCTTTTGCATGCCTCTCCATCGCCCTGTTTTTGCTTGTGTGCTTGAGGCAGTCTTGTTTGTGTATGGATATAATAGCTGCTGAACCCCAGCATCTCAATTGGGTGAAGAAGGGTTGCTTTATTTGGAAAATACTACCTTGCTCATCTTCCCATACTTCCACTTCCCACGCATAGGACAACCTGGTGGAGTTTGACGAATCACACGAGGTGGTGCGGTCAATGATTGACGAGTACCGCATGTGTGAGACATCCGATCCACTTGCTTACGAGTTTGAAGGGGCGGCAGCATAACGAGGGCGAGTGGAAGGAGTGGGGTATTGGGCCTTTTTTCCGGCCTTAGCGCGCGTGAGCATTGTGGCGGCTGCACTACTTGTGCACCGTGTTGATATATGTTCCGCGCAAGGTGCCAAATGATTTCTCAGTATGTTTGCTGCCTTGTACAGTAACGTTTAGCACTTGAAAGTTTGTTTCTTTCTAAGTTGTTATCAATTGTTTTATATGGTTATACGTGTGTAGATTTTGTCGGTTATAGTCATAGATGCAACTCCGGCTTTGAAACAGCCCAGTCGCGGCACGTCCTAGTAAGCTTCTGCGAAGCTTCAGAGAGGCATCGAAGAAGCTCCATTGTGAAAGACGTCGCTGTCGTGTAGTAGGTGAGAGAGAGCTGCCGTCAAACTAGGTCATGTGACTGACGGCCATGTGGGGCTCTCTAGGTCAATCATTATCGGATCCATGTCAGCCTTCCGCTTCTTCTGCGGAAGCGGAATCGTGCACCACACGGAGGTGTGCTGGACCGCGTAGAACTAGGGAGGCGACACGTCTTCATCGGGATTTCTTCGCTGGCCACTCTGACCGCACACATTATTGCCCACAAAAATGCTGCCCGTCGCAGACTGTCCGTCAGCAACTTCACTTTCCCGCCACCCTGAGACGAACCCTCCGTCAAATCTGGTTGGGTCCAGGGCGGTGCAGTTTTTCTTCTGCTAACGTCCTTGCGACAAGGGCAGTAATCGGGGCCATCATCACCTGCCGCATCGCACAGTCATCTCTGTTCTCGGTTCCACTCCAAACAGTACGAAATCGTCTCTGGGAAACCTCTGAGTCGCCGACAGTCTGCAGTCAAGCTAGCGACTCGTCCAGGCACCTGACGGTCGCTTGGCGATTGTCGTGCCTTCTTTTATTCGCTCGGCGATCCTCTTGGATTCTGTTCCGTCGCACCTCCCACCCGTGCTCCTGTGGGTGGGATCTCCCCTCTTTTATACCGTCGCCGATGCCTACGAGGCGATTGTCGCAAATGCTCGCGAGGGCGACTCTTTCGGTGGCATGTGCTTGGTAGAGCTGGGCAGAGATCCCAAGTGCGATGCCGTCGCCGTGTTGTTTGTTCGCCCCTCGTCTTCTTGTCGCGTTGCGTCGTCGGTCGTCGGTCCCATGCCTCCTGCGACTGCGACTGGGTAAGAACTGTGCAGCTGGAGCTCAGGGAGGGCTGGATTCTCCCTCTTCCCCCCTAACAGCTGCAGCACGAGCGAGCAGACTCCCTCCCTCTCACCATTCCACAACCTTCCCATCTTTTCAACCTTCACTGTGGCAGAGCTAGGGTTCATGATTCATGAACTAGAAGCGTGAGAATTTTTATTACCCCTTCCACTAGCACCAGCTGTTACCATAAGGCATTTTATTTATTAGGTCTCTGATAGTGTGGTAAGACCACTTAATTTATAGAGCCTGCTTATACCACTTTATTTATAGAGCTTAACTGAGGAAGCACCACAAGCACCACAGGTCTTCAAGGGATAGAGAAGTTGTGGTCTTCTTAGTATAGAAACACCTTCTGAGTAATCGGGGTTTGAGGTTCAGCGATGGTCCGCTTCCCGTTTGACCTAGATTGCGGATGGGTACTGCATCAGCGTACAGGACGGCTAGAGGATGCTTACACCTTAGAGAAGGAGCTGGGTCGTGGACATTTCGGGATCGTCAAGCTTTGCAGAAAACGTTCCGGAGGCGGACAATACGCATGCAAGTCGATTGACAAGTCTAAACTCTCGCACTGGTTAGTTCCTATTCCCACGCCTTCTGTCGTTTTTTTTTTATGCTTATTTACGAATGGAGCAGGAACATCGTGTTGCTCTTGCGCCATCGTTAACTAGCAGTGCTGACTCAACTCCTTGGTTGTTCGCTTGCTTGCTTCTTTCTTCAGGGAGGATAAGGAAGATGTTCGCAGAGAAATCGAGATCATGCGAAGACTTTCTGGGAACCCGTACACGCTGAACCTGGAGGACGTTTTCGAGGACGACAGCTTCGTCCATCTAATTATGGAGCTTTGCGAGGGTGGTGATTATTCGACGACATCAGCAGCCATGGCTTTATGACAGAAGCACAAGCAGCAGCAGTCTTTGAGGAGATTGTCCTTGCCGTTATGCATTGCCATGAGCACGGCGTTCTACACCGCGACTTAAAACCGGAAAATATCCTTCTTGTACAGAGATCAGGCGTTAGGGAGCAAGCGGGAACAGATGACTGCAAGTCGCCTTCAAAATGCTTCTCATTGACGCCGAGGGTCAAGCTTACTGATTTCGGGCTTTCTCTCTTCGTGGACGCTCACAAGCAGGTTTACGGTGTCGCTGGAAGCCCGTTCTACCTCGCTCCAGAAGTTTTATCCGGAATTACGGCCACGAAGCAGACATCTGGTCTCTTGGTGTCATGCTGTACATGCTTCTCTCGGGTTCAGCTCCTTTCTTCGGGAATCGGAGAACGAGGTCCTCGCAGCCGTCAGGCGTGGAAAGCTTTCGTTTTACCGGCCGATTTGGGGGTCAATCTCGCCGTTCGCGAAGACCTGATTCGGTGCCTGCCCGGCAGGATCCAGCAAAGAGCCGACTGCTAGCGACATACTCCAGCATCCGTGGTTCACCGAGTGTTTTCCGATCGCAGCAGCTAACAGCAACAGCATCAGGTCAGTCAGCGCAGAGCTTGCAAACGATGCATTCCGACAGGTGGTAGATAGCTTAGAA